ATCTACACAGGTCCCTTCCGACCCTAGAAACTATGAAACCACCTCCAACACGTGTCCCATGCTCTTGTAGCTCCAGCTGTCCTGAGCTCGTCTCTGCCTAAAAACCACTGTTTCTTTGTTATTACCGCACGTGCAATTGTATACCACACTCTCCTGTCTAACAGCATGATATTGATATCCTGAGCATTGGCCTGAACCCACAGGGCAACATTTTAAAGAAAAATCACTGTGTATGTAAAGCTTGGACCACAAGCTATTCTTAATTTTTTCCCCAAGGAAGATCTGCTAGTAAGAAAAGTATCAAAACCCCACAAAAACAATCACTGTTTATCAAAATTGTATGTGCTTTTTCTGGTTCAAAATTAACTGCCTACCACATCTAATTTACTGTATTGTTTTCAAATTAAAAACCTTGAGAGGAAAAAACAACTTTCCTATTTTTTACTGGGCAATACAGGATCTTTTAATTTTCACAGCATTTCCTTTTCCCTACTACCATGACTCCTACATTTATATATCTGCACAATAAGGCATCATTCACTTGGATGAATTTATTTTCTAAGATGAAGTTTGTTGAGGGAACAAGAGACCAACTTACCAACACATATCAAGTGTATCAGAGCCCAGAAATAGCCATTTGGATCAAACTGCAAAAGAAAACTAAATAAATGCATGTGCATGTAAACAAACCTAACACAAATATTTCCCTGTATTAGATTTCAGAAACTACCTGTAATGAAAACTGTACTGCACACAGCAACCTGCTAGGAAAAGCAAAATGTTTCTCAGTTGGTCTACCACAGAGCCCTAGCTAGCTACCACTTGCTCGGCCTATATCTTTATATTCCACAGACCAGATGTTCAGCAGATGTAAATCAGAGCTCCACTGACTTCAGTGGAATTACACTGATGTAAACACTGAAAATCTGGGTCCCTATCTTCACACTCTGCTTTCAAAACTTTGCACTGCACTTCTTGAGAAACCAGATCTTCCTTAATTGGCACAGTTGACAGGGATCACTGCATGCAGAAGCTGTGAACTCCCTCCCTGCCACCCCAACAGCAATTGATCATTCAGGATCCTCAAGATTCCTGGCTTCTGTGAATTCCTAATAAGAGAAATCACATTTCGTGATCAAACATAAAAAAACCAGTGTAGAATACAGCTGTGCCTCATATGTATATCTTGTGTTATGGTTGCTAAATAAGTACATTCAGTATGTACACACCATAAATACAGAAAAGGGTGATAAATGTGCAGTAAAATGACTTAATGTAAAGTATTGTGAGCTGTTTGGAGCAGGGAACATCTTAGGAGTTTACACACCAGTTGCCTTTCAGAATGGTCCTGGTCCATTACTATCCATTATACCTATATAATGTATAATTAGGGACCTACCTAATTTGAGGCAGCTGCCCACCAATTTTGCAGGAAGAACACAGGTCCCAGCAACCATTGTGTTGTACTATCTGTACTGCTTCTATAGCATATATCAGTACTGCCCACACATACTGACTTGGCACATACCAGTCCCAGAAATGAGGCAGTGAAACTGTCTTGAGGGTGCCTCCCCATCCCCACTTTTGAGATCTGTCTCTATTGTGTCTGAGAGTGATGGTAGGGTGCAGTACCGATATATGGTATAGAAGCAGTATGGAAAGTACAACACAGATTTTTATAATACTTCCAACAATCAGTTATATATTTTCCTAGAACACAGGTAGAAGCTGCACAATTATGTCCCCCATTTGCAAATAATACTGCCAAATATCAAGATCAAAGATAATTTACAAAACAGACCTACCTGTGTGTCACACAAAGGAAGGCACCCTGCGGCTATGAGGAGGAACAGTACACTGTGGGGAAGAAAACAGAAACCTGCAGTTTATTATCCAGTGCTGTGTTTCCAGATGAGTTTGGCAGTTTCCACTCAAACTTACATTGATTTCACTTCATTTTGACATAGAACATCATCTTTTCCTGGAAAATGAAGTTTGGTTTTTTTTACCAGTTCCCTTTTGTATTTAAATAGAAAAATTTCATGTGGATAAAATAATTTTGGTGTAAAATGTACCTTACTTAATGTCATGGACAAGCTTTGTCTCAAACATGAAATGTTGCTCTAGGTTCTCATTTAACATCTGGCTCACGGGGGCCACTCAAAGAGGAACAAATTCTGATTAAATGGTTGGCAGAGTTATTCTTGTTGAAGGAAGTTGCCTGCAGGCACAAATGCTGCAGAGATGACTGCTGTCTCAGCCATTTCCCAACCCCAGCACAGAGACCGTAATAGGATTGGGAGGTGGTAATAAGACAGATGATTGCACTAATACTTCACTGCTCTTTTTCAAACCAATGGTGAGACAGCTGCAAGTTCAGAGAGCTGCGACCTGCTCTTTGACAGCACCCTTGTCTCTTGAGCCTAGCATAGTTTAGATGCAGGGGAGAATTCAGCCTACTGTTTAATTGTTGTAACTTTTATCCTACCTTATCTATTCACTTCTTTACAGGGTGCCCTCACCCCTTGAGTTTGTTCAATGCAGAATGGAAACTCTTTGGCCCTGAAACCATGTTTGTTTTTATTTCTGTAATGCACCATGGTAGCTTTGGAAGCTTGTAACAATATTAACAGGGAAGAATATTTCCTTTTGCAAAAAAAGAAAAGAAAAAATTAAGAGGGGGGGATTGGCAAAACCACAAGAAACACTTAAGCACTTTTGATTGAGGTAACCTGGGGATCAAAACCCAAGTATGACAAATAAGTTTACTGAAAAAGAAGAAAAACAAGAAATCAAACAAAAAAGTCACCAAATTCCACAGGCCCATTGGGATAGCATGCCAATTTCTGTACTTAGTGACTTAAGGGAATAAGGCAATTAGCATCACATCTAGCTGCCCATACCCAGTCTAAATGACAAGATATCCATTTACAGCTAAGGGGCATTTATACATGTGCTCTGGGTGGGCGTGGTCAAAGGAGCTTTAAAGTGTCCCCACCACTGTTTTTCAGCACAGGGACTTAGATACACATGACACTGGAAACTGCTGGAGTGCAGTAATTACCATGCTCCAGAAGACTTGATTAATCAATCAGGAGTTCGCCCAGGAACTGGCTGAGGCCACATGCT